ATAAAAAAGTATTTAATTTACACAGGGTTCTATTTATCTATTTTATCTTTTGCTCTTTGTGCTTTTGTTTTCATATCTGAAAATATACAGAGAACTCTTAAAACTAAACAATAAGGAAAATACAATTCACTTTGTAAGTGGGCAAAATAGCTGACAGCCACTTCAGCAAAGAAAACATACCAATGGCAAATAAGCATATGAAAAGATACTCAACATCATATGTCATTAGGAAATTATACATTAAAGCAATGATGAGATACCACTACACACACACCTATTAACAACAACAAACAAAGCAAGATCCACTGCCATCGAGATGATTCTGACTCAGAGTAGAATTGCTCCATAAGGTTTCCAAGGCTGTAAATCTTTGTGGAAGCAAACTGCCTCATCTTTCTCCCATGGAGCTGCTGGTGGATTCAACCTTCCAACCTTTTGGTTAGCAGCCAAACTTTAACCACTATGCCATCAGAGCTCCTTATACACATTAGAATGGCTGTTTTCATTACCTAGTGCTGCTCTGAAAGGAATATACCACAAATGGGATGGCTATAACAAACAGGAGTTTATTCCCTTACAAATTTGGAGGCTTTAAGTCCAAGTTCAAAGTGCCAGGCTCTAGGGGCTGGGTGAAAGCCCCACAACCTTGGGCTTCAGCTCTGCCTCCTGGTCCCAGCCCACTGAAGCTGAAGGGTTTTCTTCACTCAGACAGCTACTGGCTGCTTAGGCTGACAAGCCCAAGGTTGACAAGTAAAAAGGCACAGTCCCAATGTTACCAAACAAAATGGCATGCCACTAATTCAAGTCCAGATGAAGTCCCAAGATTGGCAGGGCATGGCAGGCTGTTGAACATCGAGTTGGCTGCATGCAGGGTTCAAGTGTGCCAAAAGGCTAAAGACCATTCCCAAAACTGTTTCTTATACACGGGAAGCAGACCACATCCCTAAAGCTGCTCCAATAGATTCCACCATGGAGTTAATTACCAAACTCACCATGGGGAATAACTACATCCAACTGCCCTGCCACTCAACCAGGCCCAGCCTGGTTAAGTTTGACACACAAACTTAACTACCACAATTCTACTCATTGTCAACATGGCATTTGTACAGATCTCCAATGGGTGGTACCTGTATGGATCTCTTTCACTGGGTGGCTCCAGTCCCCTAGTTCCTGAAGGGCAACCTCACCTCCTTGGCCAGACCCCATTCCTCTCTCTCTTGGGCTTGGCAGCCCAGCTTCTTCACTCTTGGGCAGTGACTATGACTTCATCCCACTGGCTCACATGACGAGCAGCCCCACACTTCAGAACCAAGTCGGTGAAGGTATGGCTCTTTGAAACCTAGGGGACTGTGGTGGTTCCACCCCCAAAGGCAATGGTCCTACCCTTGAGGCTGAGGCAGCTCTGCTTCCTGTTTCCTTGGTCTCTCTGCTTCTGCCAGTTAATGCCTGAGGGAAATCCACTCCACCAGAAATCTTCCGGCCCAAAGGACACTTAGCTTTCTTGTTCTGTGGGCTGGTCAACCTGCTACTCCATCTCATGCCAGTCTCTTCTACTAATTAATGCCCAAAGGCAACTCACTCTGCCAGGAAGCTGCCTACCCAAAAGCATCCTGCTTTCTCCTCTATGGGCTGGTTAGACTGTCACTGTCTCATGCTGGGTCTTGCCTCTGCTCCTGCCATTTCTCATGCTTGTCTCTTGGCTCTGCCTCTGAATGCCTCTGCATGCCATGCTGCATGCCGGGATCTCTCTGCCAGGGTCTTGGGTGAAGGATGCTCTCCACTCCTGTTTACACATTTTGGGAATCTGTCAGAACAGCACCCCACTCCTGGCACCAAATATGTTAGGCTGTGTTTTCTAGAGAAGCAAAAGCATATGTGTATATATATATATGTTGTTGTTGTTATGTACCGTCGAGTCAGACCTGACTCATAGCGACCCCTCCTTGGATTTCCGAGGTGGTATCACTACAGAAGTAGATTGCCCCATCTTCCTTCCAAGGAGTGGCTGGTGGATTTGAACTGCCAGCCTTCTGGTTAGCAGTCAAGTGCCTTAGCCACTATGCTACCAGAGCTCTCTCTCTCTCTCTCTCTCTCTCTCTATATATATATATATATATACACATATATATACAGAGAGAGAGAGAAAGAAATTTATCTTAGGAAACTAGCTCACACACTTACAGAAGTTGGCAAGTCCCAAGTTCCTGGATCAAACATCGAGCTGGAGGCTTTTCCTGACTTACCCAGCTGTAGGGGTTGTCGAGCTCAAGGTTGGCAGGCAGTATACCAGCTGTTGACTCTGATGGTTGACAAATCCAAGATCACTAGGCCAAATGGTGGATTGTTTGCTCACGGACAGTTGTAGGCAGCACAACAGCATCCAGATCCACCAAAGAGTCTGTCTTTTTCCCAGGATGTCCATATATATATATCGGAACAAGGCCACAGTCTTAGGTAAACTCCCTTTCAACAGATTGACTGCTCAAAATATATACACCAGATCTCATCATGGGAATAACCACATCACAACTGCTTAAATCACAGAATCATGGTCCAGCCAAGTTGACACACAACCCTAACTATCACAATGGCTAGAACGTCTATTAGAATAGGTAAAGTCCAAAGTACTGACAATACAAAATGCTGGTGAGGATGTGGAGTAGCAGTCACTTTCATTCATTGCTGGTGAGGATGAGAAATGATACAGACTCTTTGGAAGACAGTTGGGCAATTTCTTACAAAATCTTACACAGTCTTACAAGGTGTAACATAGTAAAAAATCCAGCAATTTCTCCCTAGAGTTGAAAACACAAGTCCACACAAAAACCTATCCATGAATGTTTATAGCCACTCCATTCATAATTGCTCAAAATGGGAAGCAACCAAGATGTCCTTGAATTGGTGAATGGATAAACAAACTGTGGTATAGCCATACAATGAAATATTATTCAGCAATAAAAAGCAATGAGCTTTTGTAATTTATTATTTCATTCAGCATAATGTCCTCCAAGTTCATCCATGTTGTGAGGCATTTGGCGCATTCTTTATTATTCTTTAATATTGCGTAGTATATCATTGTGTATATATACCATAGTTTATCCATTCATCCTATAATAGGCATTTAGGTTGCTTTCATCTTTCTGCAATTGTGAATAATAACACGATGAACATGGATGTGCATATATCTGTTCCACTATTATAAAAAGTCAAGAAAAGGTTTGTTCACAGAAAGAAACATTCTTTGATGGCTACCTGGGATTGAAGGGAAAGAGAGGGTGAGTCAATAACTAGAGCATGGACTCATATTAATGGTGGTGAAGGGAAAGGCAGCATACATTAAGGGGTAGGGCAGCACAACATGACCAATAGAAAAGGAAATCACTGGGAGGTGCACAAGAGTAAAAGACAACAAAGGTAAATACTCAGGAACAGCAATCACAAATAACATCAACAAGTAGATAAACTGCTAGAGATGCAAGCTGAACAGATGTAGGGAGGTGAATGGGAGTACACCAACATTTATATAGAGGTTTGGCAGAGAATATTTCTATGTATGTATTTGTATGTGCTGAAAACATATCAAAGGATATTATAGAGCATACGGGGCAAAGTTATGAAAACTTCTTAACCAGAACGTAACCAAACAATTGAGGGAATGACTTAATGCGCTTGGGGATGTAGGGCCATAGTCTTAGGGCTCATCTGGGTGAATTGGCATAACATATCCACAAAAAAGTGTCCTACATCCTACTTTGGTGAGTAGCAACTGAAGTCTTAAAAGCTTGTGAGTGGCCACCTAAGATGCAACTATTTGTTTCTCCCCATCTGGAGTGAATGAAGACAATCAAAGACCCAAGCAAACAATGAACCATGCAAACCACAATCTGCACTATCCTGAGACCAGAAGAATTAGATGGTGCTTGGCTACCACTGCTAACGTCTTTGATCAGGCTCACCATAGAAGGTCATGGAGAAAGAGAGAGAGGGAAAGGGAGAGGGAGAAAATATAGAATAAATTTCAAAATCATAAAAAAATACTAGACTGGTCTGATAAGATTGCTAGAACCTCTGAGACTCTGGCTTTTAAGATACCCTTCAAGCCTGGAATAGAACCCACCCCCAGGGATCAACTTTCAGCCAAATAATGTTGTTATTGTTATGTGCTGTCAATTTGGACCTGACTCATAGTGACCCCTCTTTGGGTTTCTGAGGCTGTATCACTACGGAAGTAGATTGCCCAACCTTCCTTCCGAGGAGTGGCTGATGGGTTTAAACCGCCAGCCTTCTGGTTAGCAGTCAAGTGCCTCAGGCACTATGCTACCAGAGCTCAGGTCTATAAAGTGAATGATAACAGCAGGTAGGGATGTACTCCTCAGTACAATCAACCATACAAGACCAAAAGGGCAGCATTTACCCAAAAACAAAGATCAGAAGTTAGGAAGAGACAGGAAAGGAGGACAAATGGATGCAGGAAACCCAGGGAGGAAGTGGGAAGAGTGCTGTTACATTGAGGGGGTTGCAACCAAAGTCATGAAACAAAATGTGTATAACTAGTTGAATGGCAAACTAATTTGCTGTATACGCTTCCACCCAAATTACAATAATAATAAAAAGAAATATTATGTAACAACAACAACAACAACAACAACAACAAAACGCAGGCTTACACACACACACACACACACAAGAAAGAAACGAAATAAGTTATCGAGTCATGAAAAAACATGGAGGAACATTTATTACATAAGTTAAGGGAGTCAATCTGAAAAGGCTTCATACTGTGTGATTCTGACTATATGACATTCTGGAAAAGGCAAAACTACAGAGACAGTAAAAAGTTAAGTGGTGTGGCCAACAAACACATAAAGAATTTATGCTTGTTAGCCAGTCGAGAGATGCAAATCAACAATGAGATACCATCTTGCCCCAGCACTAGTAGTAAAGTTCAACATGACAGAAAATAACAAATGCTGGTGAAAATGTGGAGAGATTGGGACTCTCCTACACTGCTGGGGGACTATAAAATGGTAAAACCACTGTGGAAAGCAGTATGGCGATTCCTTAAAAAGTTGGAATTAGAAATACCATTTGATCCAGCAATTCCATTACTAGGTAATATTTACTATTTGGCTTTTTAGAGAAAATATTTGCAAACTCTTTTTTTAAAGTAAAAGTAGGGTTGGTGGTTCAAACCCACCAGCCACTCCTTGGGAGGAAGGTTGGGCAATCTACTTCCATAGTGATACTGCCTCAGACTCCCAAGGAGGGGTCACTATGAGTCAGATCTGACTCCACGGCAGTGGGAGTGGGAGCACCAATGTATATGGGGTTTATAGCATGTCTATAAAATCTTTGATTGCAAAATTATTAATAAATCAAGAGTGAGTTAAAGAGAATAGCTGTCAATAGTCGTATTTATTGTATTTTACACAAAATAAAAAATTGTACTGTATTTTTGCAGTGGGTTTTCTCACTGTTATATGGGGAGACTGACTTTATACTGAGTCTAATAGGCAACTGCAATGATGTTCCCCAATGATTACTCACCTCCTAGTACTCATGCCTGTTAGTGGATTGAATTATGTCCTCCCCAAAGTATGTGTTGGAATCCTAATCCCTATACCTGTAGATGTAATTCCGTTTGAGAATAGAGTTTTCTTTGTTACTTTTATGAGTCCATATTTGTGTAGGGTGTGTCCTACACCTACTCATTTTTGAGTTACAAGGAGCAGCATAAACACAGAGCCAAAGAAACACAAATTGGGGAAGATAGATGTCACATGGAGATCACCAAGGAACCAAGGAATTTACAGGCAAGAAACTGAAACAAGAATCTTCCCTAGAACTGCCAGAGAGAGGGCCTTCCCCTGCAGCTGGTGCCCTGAATTCAGACTTGAATCCTAAACTCTGAGAAAGAAAGAAAGGAAGGAAAGAAGGAAGAGAGGGAGGACGGGAGGAATTAAATAAATTTCTGTTCTTTAAAGCCACCAGGAGACTAAGACAATGCTCTTGTGTAATTCCCTCTCCTTTAGTGTGGGCTGGATTTAATGACTCTCAGTGCATAGGAGAAGTGATGGGATATCACTCACAAGATGCAGTTACAAAATGACTTCTATCTTGGGTGTTCTCTCATCTCTTTTTGTCCCTTTCTCTCACTCTCCTTCTTTGATCACTCTCACTGGGGGAAGCAAGATGCCATGTTGTGACCAGCCATATGGAGAAGCCCACCTGTCATAGGACTGAGGTGGGCCCTTAGTCCAACAGCCTGAAAGGAATTTGAAGCCTGCTGTTAACCACATGAGTAAGTTTGGAAACATGTTTT